GGAACCATGGTAGAACTCTTTGTACAATGGTCTTATATGTTCGTTTCATGTGTTTATAGGAATATGTTTTGTTTTGCCTTGCTTTGTTTTGTTTCTCCCTCTAATACAGAAAGGATAGAAATACATGTTAAGACTCATGCATGTGTAGAATCTATAAACAATTTATGAGAACTGATCTTACGACACATGATGAAATGAACAGATACTTTGAAGAAAAAAAGAGACACTAAAATACCCAGGGCTGATCCTGAAGTCTCATAATGTGAAACCCAGCAAAAGTATTATTCTTTGTTCAGAGGGATATTAGCCTGCTTAGGTTTATTCAATCTCAACATAATTGAAGATATGGATAATTGCATGTATGTTTAAGTGTATAGGATTGATAACCATATTTCTAAGTTTTTGTTGGATAGTTGAACAGAACTGGTGTTGAACTGGTTGCAATCTCACTGTTTGAATCCCCACTTTATATGCTCCACTTATCTTAAATAACTATTTTTAAGAAGACAATCTGTAATCATCAACTAGTGATTTCTTACTGTTTATTTTTTTCTTTGAAGTTATATATTTTTGGGGCTGGGGATTTAGCTCAGTGGCATAAGCACCTGCCTTGCAAGCAGGCAGTCCTGAGTTCGATCCCAGTATCGATAAAAAAAGAAAAAGACACACACAAAAAAAGAAATTATATATTATTTCTACCCATTTTCTGTTTTGTTTATTTAGTCTTTCTTTAAATTTTTTTTTCTTTTTCATTTTTACCGGTAACAGGGATCGAACTCACGACTGCCTGCTTGCAAGGCAGGCGCTTATGCCGCTGAGCTAAATCCCCAGCCCCTCTTTAAATTAAATTTAAAAAAAAAGACACTACAGTACACAGTGCTGATCATGAAGTGTCATGATGTGAAATCCAGCAATACTATTATTCTTTGTTCAGAATGATTTTAACCTGCTTCAGTTTATTTAATCTAAACATAAATGAAGATATGGATAACTGCATGTATGTTTGTTGGACAGTTGAACAGAACTGTTTGCAGTCTCACTGTTTGAATTCCCACTTACATGTTCCATTTTTGTATCTTGAACAACTATTTGTAGAACGACAATATGTAAACATCAACTAGTGATTTACTTTTTTCTCTGAATGTATCTATTATATCTACCTAAAAAAATAAATAAAATATATAAATAAAATAAATAAATGACCAACCAAAGTTCACTGAAACCCACTGTAAATACCAATGCTGAACAGTGGCTTCCTGCTCCAGTAAAACTGACTGGAAAACCACCAGATATAACAGCCCAAGAGAAGGATCTACTCTAAGAGCTAGAAGAAATGCTTCTCTCCGAAACCAATTTACATGAAATGGAAGAAAACTTCTAAAAGAAATCGCTAAAGATTTTGTTTGGTTTAGGTTTTTGTTTTTGCTTTTTAATTTGTAGTAGAACTTGAGAGAACAAGACACGTATGAAAAGATCTCATTGTGGAAAACTGTTTCATTTACAACACAGCAGGAGACTGATCTGAAACTGTATGGCCCCTGACAAAGTGCTGGGTCCTAGCACTCATAGGAGCAGCTGCGGCATCAGAAAGGAGCGCCCTGGGTCCTTGGTGGCTTCCTAGTGAAGGGCAGAGCTGCTGTTAAAGCCGTGTCCCTCCCGTCCCCATGGATGCAAAATGGATCCAGGAGGTGCAGAGCAGAGGGACACAGTAAAGGGGGAAAGCACCGTTCAGCCAGTTGCAAGGAAGACAGTACAAGAGGGCAAGGCAGAGACATATAGATGGACAGGTGGACAAGATAATTATCAGTCAGAGAGGAAATGTGGACCTCACTGGATACTATCTCAAATATTTACAGGAGGACTGGCAATCTGAAACCTGGATAAATGTTTGATTGCATGATGGAAATATTGTTAATTTTTTTGTACCGGGAATCGAACTTACAACTTTGTGCTTGCCAGGCAGGCACTGTGCCACTGACCTGTATTCTGGCCTGAACACTATTAATTTTTAAAGGTATACTCACTGTATTTTTTTTTTTTTTTTAGACAGGGTCTTGCTATATAGCTCAGGCAGACCTTGAGCTCAGGTTCATGCAATATTCCTGCCTCGACCTCCCAAGTGCTGGGATTATGGGCATGTACCACCACACCTAGCTCTGTATTTGATTATTTTTAAGAACTGCCTTTCAGTTATATAAAGTTGTGTGTCTGCAAATTGTATCAAAGAAGTAAGGAAGGGAAAGATAGGGCTGTATGGGAAATACGACTGGCTGAGGGTCCACCGCTGGGTAATGCACATATGCAGTTTTGTTTCTTTCTTCGTTTTGGTGGTGCTGGGGATCTGAGCCAGGCCAGTACTCTACCACTGAGCTAAACTGTCAGCCCCACAAGGGGGCTTATTATGCTGCTCTCTCCCTTTTTGTGTAAGTTTGAAAATGGTAAACATACAGTATTTTAAAACTACACCAAAGAGACCACAAGAGAGTGTAACTCTGCAAAGCCCAGTTGTTTAGATAGTTGCTCAGGAAATTCTCCCAAACATTTTGAGGAAAAGGAGATTAAAAAAAAAATGGGTGAACCTAAATGCAACAGAGGCCCAAGAGATGCAGTCTGTTTATTTGCAGTGCTGGGGACTGAAGCCAGGGTGTCACACATCCTAGGCAAGCGCCCCAATACTGAGAGACTTGCTGGGTTCACTCCCCAGTACAAACTTAACAGGGAAGCATGACTAGAAATGCAAAGGCAAAGCCACACACTTCCTAACATTCCTGGGGAGGGTGGAGAAGGGGATGAAAGAATTCGGATGTGTCATGTACCAACTCCCCACGTGCGTGGAATGTGATCATTATATACCGCAGACACCAAATGGTAATAATAGAACGAACGTTCCCACCATTCCCACTGTCCGCTCACTTTGACCAGTAAACCATGTGGTAACTTTCCACACCCATACGCTCAGGGATTTGGACCTAATTGTGTGCAGTTATGGAAACACTTGTAGTACACTACCCGGTTTGGAAATGTTTTGAGACTGTAATACCTGGAATAAAACAGGTTAGAAACATCCCCAAGGCCAGGGATTTAGCTCAGCGGCATGATCACCTGCCTAGCAAGAGTGAGGTCCTGAGTTCGATCTCCGATACCAAAAACAATAAAAGCCCGGCTCAGTCCCTGCCTGAGTGCCCGGGCAGTGTTGGGCTCTCCAGACTGTCAATCCCTTCGAGATGCATCTGCCTGTACTGCATGAATTTTGAGGCCACCCCATTTCATGTTTAAAGGTTACTCCTCCCTCCATCACTCCATTGTGATCTTTGCTACCTCCATGTTTTCTGTGTCTGAGGTAATGTAACAGGTGGTCAGTACCCATGTGATCTTGTATGTGATGCTGGAAATAGAACTCAGGCCCTTGTGCGAGCTAAGTGTCCCACTGCATGGCTACACACACCCCCCTCCCTATTGCCGAAGTCTTTATATAAGCCAGGGCTTGTGTAAATGGTGCTTCTCAACATATCTGTGAATGAGCAGCTATTTTTTACTTTTCCTAATGTACCATGGCCCGTGACTTCTATGAAATATTTTAAAAATAAAATTCTGGAATTAAAGACATACAAAATACAAGCTAGCTCAGATATCTTAGTATTAGACTCAAAACACACACAAAACGACTGTCAGTATCCGCAGATCTGCTGTGGCACCCGACTCCCATTCACCAACACCAGGGCTCAGACCGTGTTCGGCTGGGTTCTGATGTTATCTACTCTGATCGCCATTCCACCAGCAGCGTATTCATTTGTAAATACTGGTACACCTGGCTCTGTTTCTAGCTAAACATGCCTCTTTGCTGGTGTGCATGACACTGAGTTGGAATTTGAGGTCATTTTTAGGTATATTCCTTTTTCTCCTCTAGGTCCCTTTTTTTCCCTAAACAGTACTAAGAATTAAATGCAGGTCCTTCACCTCCAGCTACATCCCCTGCCCTTTTTAGTTTTAAGACAGGGTCTCACAGAATTGCCCAAGTGGGACTCTGGCATCCTCCTTCCTCAGCCTCCTGAGTGTTGCGATTATGAGCATGTGCCACAAGAAGCCTCCCAAGCTTTTCAGTCATTCACCTGGACCTCAGCTACCTTGGGCAGCACATCTGAGGTGGCTTCTCTTCATGTACAAGTATTTAAATGTGTTTATACATACAATTCTATACTCACTTCAGCCCTTAAAAAGTGCAGCTCTACAAAGGTACTGCTGGGGAATCTAATGTCCACTGGACCCCCAGCTCTCTGGGCTTGGGGTCTGCTCATACTTTCTGGAAGCAGTGATTCTTTCTTGGTGAGGGACACAGCTGATCTAGGAGAGAGGACCAGGGTGCTAAAGCTACTGCAGACATGCGACAGGACAGTGACGTGAGTTCTCCTTTCATTATCATTAAAAATACCGTACGGCTATTTTCGCACACATGGAGCTTATTACCAGACCGCCCAGAAGGGGCTGAGTCAGGGTGCTGGGACCAGCACTCATGACCTTAAATGCCAAGGGGCCAGGGATGGAGATGGAGTGAGAGGTTTTAGGTTTGCTAGGGACCAACACAGGGCTAGGGGTGCAGGTGAATGCCGAGCACTTACCCAGCATGTGTGAGGCCTTGGATTCAATCCCCTGTACCACAAAGACAAAAAAACCCAGCACCTCGCCTTGGTCCTTCCATCCTGCCCAGGAGCCACAATGACCTAGTGGGGCCTTGTTCACTTAGACGCTGCTCCTGATTCTGCCACCCAGGCTCGGCCTGGAGGTGTTTTTGCTGTAATGATGGACTCCTGATGTCACCGGCACCCCAATCTAGCAGGAATGCATCCCCTCAGTCCCCAGAGCACTGCTCCTCCACCCCTCACAGTTCAGCTTCTGGCACCTGACAAAAATTTTTGTCAGCCAAGTTTCTTCTCCTAAGCGATGACCTCTACTAAATCATGATTTTCTCAAAGACCAAAGGAAGAGGCCCTCGAACAACAAAACGGCGTCCAGGAGAGCTTTTATTTTTATGGAACAGTTTTAAAAATACAGAATAAAATAGCTTTATCTCTACTATTATTCACAACATCTGGTCCAAATATTACATATTTTTTAAAATACTTAAACGCTTAATGAAGCCATGTTAGAAAAAACAATATGAAAATTCTTTTTAAAAACTCCATAAAAGAATTACACATCTCAAAAAACAATCCCACCCCAAATACCTTCAGTATGCAAAAAAAAAAAAAAAAAACAAAAACAAAACAAAACAAAAAACCCCAGAAAAGTATACAGGCAAAGTCACTCACAAATGCAAGAAAAATAGAGGCATCTCCACTGCTTTAAGAACAGTCAGAAATTTATTAAGGACTTAGACAAAGATTGACGGGGTGAACAGAAAGAGTGTGTGTGAGAATGGTGAGTTGGGGCGACGCCAGGAAGGTGTCCCACGTGCCGGGGACCACACAGCAACTCTATGGACGCCGAATGTTGGCGCAACGGGGAGGCACAGTCGACAACACCCTGCAGGATGGGAATGCTCATGAGGCTGCTGAGAGGGGGTCCCCGGTGCCAAGGAGCGGAAGCCGATCTAACCACTGGCCAACTTGGGCAGCCTTCTTGGGGTCTGCAGGTTCCGGCTACAAGAGTGGAAGATGGGAAATGTCCTATTCTCTGCATCCAAATCATAAGGGACAGAGGACAACGCACAGCCCATGAACCTCGGCCATGGCCAGTTCTCCTAGAACTGGGGCCCCATGAGCACTCAGGAGCTGCACGCTCACCCAGGCCAAGCTGGCGGCTGGCAGCGGATGGGGGCTGGGCAAAGTGAGCCTGTGGGAAACCGTGCCAGGCCCAGTGTCTACAGCCGGGTCCACCTCAGGGTGCGGCCTCTCCTCTGCCAGCTCTTTACCTTCTGTGTGGCTAGGCTGGGCCACACCCGTAGCACAGATTTTACTGAAGATTAGACTTGTCAGCTCTGAATCCAATATCTCAGCAGGGACATGAATGAAAGTTGTAACAGCTTAGCTCATGGTCACAGAATATATGCATGGGTAAATAAAGTATACACACATACTAGAGATTCATCAATGGAGAAATTCTATCAGCACATGACATTGTCATGAAATTATATCATTCCCTCCCTGGAAAACTGACTTATCCTGGGCAGAAATGTTCTTTTACTATATGGAAAATACTGCAATATTCATGCATACACAAGTTGCCATTGCGAGTCAGTATTCTACAGTATAGAGCAAATCCTGTGTGTGGATGTTATCATGAAAATGGGGAGCCATCTGGGCCCTGTCTGCTTTGCTCTGGCTGGCCCAGGAAAGCCATTTTTCCTGCCTTTGTCAGTCTAAACAAACTGAAGGTTCATACTAACAACGCTCACAGCTTGTGAAACACACAGGTCCCGTGACTATGAGCCTATAGCGGGTCCCCTGGCACGAACCCGGCAGCCGCTCCCACATGCTTTCTATACTTTCTGCTCTGTGGGGCCAACATGACCGCTTTCTTCTTGCGACCAGACTGGTTAAAGTGGTGGGCACTGAAATTTGGACAGAGAATGCCCTGTCCAGAATGCTACGATGTCCTACTGAGCAGCAGTGCACAGGCCAGCACCATGCCCGAGAGGCATGGGCCACTTGCCCGCCACACCTCTCCCTTCGGGTGTAATGTTGCAGCTCCGACACTGGATACACATCGTTTTGCTTCCAGTTACAGACTTTCAGTCCAAAGCACACGTGCCAGCAGGACAACTTCCTCAAATGGCCTGTGTGTGACTCAAACAACTCAAGGCTACGCAGGAAGTGCCACACCCACTGAGGGCATCCTGTCAGGATGCTCCTTCTCTCCCACCTCCATCTCCTCTCCCCTCCCAAACGGAGTATCCAAAGCTGGCCCCAAAGGAAGGAGGACACCTATCTCTACTGACAGGTGGGTGCAGGCTTCCCTGGTGAACACTTGCTGGAAATCTCTTGTCTACTGGAGTTGAGGCCTCATGCTAAAATTGGTATGCAGAGGGGTCCCCGAGGAGAGGGGTCCCCAGGGAGAGGGCTTACAGACAGCTGAGGCTGCACTCTGGGGGCCTCGCAGGGAGGGAAGGCAGCCTGTCAAGTTGAGCCGAAGGAAACTTGGGCCTCATGCTTGCTCCTGCTCACTTTTAAGAGCTGGAATTCTTCAAATCTTTGGGATATTTAACAGTTTTTCCCATTTTCCAGAACAGAGAGATTTGAGATGCTAAGCAAACTATAAAGCAAAGAAGGAGCAGAGAACAATGCAGGGCCGGAGAGCGGTCAGTATCCAGCTGGGCACCAGGAACCGGTGTGCCTCTAAGGTCACTCTCCACTGTACACACATTTTGGACACAAAAAAATGAAACAACTTAGAATCTAAGATCTTCATATAGAATGCAGTAAGATTTTGGCAAAACAACGCAGTGGTTCTGAAGTGCTCTTGAAGCCCAAACTGCTAGGAATCCATGGAGCTGCAGTGGCACAGCTGCCGACCTGGCAAAGGGACAGAGCCAAGGTGGTGTGGACATGGGGTCACAAGAGCCAGCCCTGTGAAGGGATGGGCGGCCAAGGCTGTCCAAAGCTCAGGCAGGTCAGCCCATAAAGCATGGCCACTCTTCATGTCTCAGGCTTTTCCTTTGGCTGGAAAACTTCAAATTCAACAGAAGCCACTTTGTCAAAAATAATTTAGTGTCATAAATTAGAGCTCCTCGCGGGGGTGGGGGTGGGGTGTTAGCTGCTTTCTCATCACCTTCTCTAACGGCTCAGCAAATAAGGCTAAGAGACTCACCTTTCCTTCTGTCAAATCAAGGTTCAGTGGACACGCAACACGACAATGCCCAGAAAGCGTCTCTAAGCCAGGCAGCTGGAAATGACGGGTGGCAGAGGACCGGGAGGAAGGCCTGTGGGGGGCAGGCCGCGCCACGCACACTGTCTGCTGACCTACCCAGACTCCCTTCTTCACAAAACAAACTCATGTGTAACTTGACCCAGGGTTTCTGGGCTCTGGTCCAGTAGTCAGTTTTGATAAATAGATTAGGGTTACAGTATTTACACTTTCATGGCATCAGGCAATACAAAACACAACCACAGCAATGGTTACTGGCCTTCAACAGCTGTTCCAGCACACTTCCCTGGTGGTACCCACAGCTTTACAGATGCTGGTACTTTTCTTATTGGGAGGACGAGGAGTACAGGAACGAGAGGGAAGAAAGTCACATGGAAAAACACTGATTTGGAAAATCTGCTATAGTCAATAACATTAAATAGGAATAGAATCTTATAATTACAGACGCGCACAATAGTCACATCCACATGACAGCAGAGCTAGGACTCATAGCTTATCTGGCTGGGGGCAGTCAGTAGCCATCACACCAGCCAGGAGCGATAAATGCCCAACAAGGTGTCTCGGTCACTGCAGGGTCAGGGTGAAATGTGCTGGCTTGGTGGGGGCCAGGGTGGCAGGGGAGGAGCAGTCAATCCCACTGGCTTTGGGGTTCTTGCCCTTTCACCCCCTGAACTTCACGCCTACACAGACCTCTGGGTGCCCTATCGGGGCCGGGGGAGCAGGCCACTGCTCTTATGCTGGTCAACAGCCTCCTGGGGAGGACAAGGACAACAAAAGCTGCTGTGACAATGCGAGGACATGGTGGCCCGGCCCAGGTGCAGGCTGAGGTCACACAAAGAGAAAGTGGGCCCAGGTGCTCTGAGAGAGAAAGCCCCCGAGTGGAGGAGGCCTGTGGGAAAGCTAGCAGGGGGCAGCGGGAGGGGACTGAACGGAAGCGACTGCCGAATACCCGGCCCCGTGGGAACACGCTGGCGTTTCAAGTTCAGTGACCAAGACCAGCAGTGGACACTTTCAAAGGACACGAGGCCAAGGGCTTAAAACAGGAGCCAAGTGAGACACCATGTTGGACACAATTACCACCCAAAACAGAAAAGCACTGCGCAGCAACCCGTCTTCGCTCTGGGACGCAGGATGTAGATGCAGATATACAAACATACGTGTGACTTCTTGTTACTCGGCAAGGAAGGACAGGTACACGCCTCACTGTGGCCAGGCCACAGGGCACAGCGAAGGCTATACAGTGGCCTGTGAGTCCTCATCTGAACTCCGGCCGCTTTCGCTCTTCCCAAAGCCTTTCCACGTGTAGCCTGCAAAGGTTGGGCTGATGGGCAGGTAGCTGAAGCATCTGTACTTTTTAATAATGTTCATGCCGAACGGCAAGTTGTAGGATTCCATGCCATCAAGCGACTTGTTCCCTTTGCTCACACCTTTCTTCCATTTCCTGATCCCTCTTTCCTCTGGGGTACCTGATACACACAAAGGACACACATGCATGCACACGTACATACACACAAAACAAAACACAATGAAACAAAAACAAAGGAATGCTTAGTTTTAGCAATTCTATCAGGAACAACACTGCTGTTCCCAAGCTCAGCCCCAGCGACCCAACAGCCCGAGAAGCCAAAAGTCTCCGGTCTCCAGATAGCCACCCGGAAGTCCAGCAATCACGCAGCTTTTCTTGGCTCTCTTAAGAGTTCCACGTGCGTGTGGCCTCCTGACGGCTTTCTGTCACTGTATCAGTCTCTTAACTGCTCTCTCTTTGCATCTTCCCTCTTACTACCCGCTCCTACATCTGCTGTCAACCGCAACATGTCTAAAATGCAATTCTGAGTTTGCAAAACAGGCCTAGACTTTGTGTGTGTGTGTGTGTGTGTGTGTGTGTGTGTGTGTGTGTGTGTGTGTGTGTGTGTGTGTAGGGACACTGGCTTGTTTCTGAACTTGAAGGTTTTACTGAGATTTTTCACTTAAGACAACCTATTCCAAAAAACTCAACCAAGACTGCTGGGGAGCCCAAGCGTAGACACACACCCCAGGCAGCAGCTTTCCCTGAGGTAGCTCAACGGTGCACAGCGCTGGCTCCGGGAGGCTGGGAAGGGTCCAAGCTGGGCCACATCCCTGCCTAGGCTGCCACCCAGGGCTCAGCATGGAATCACCCACTAGAGTTCGGGGTGCTACATGGGCAGCTCCAAATGCCTTGCCTTGGTCCTGGCCTCGCTGATCACAGCCACTATCCTTTAGCCCCACAGTTGGCTGCAGGGTCACCTTATGAATGACCCACTTAAAGGACAGAGTCCCAGGGAGAAGTGCCAGAGACTGTTAGCAGCAGCTCGGGAATGCGGGACTAGCCCCAGGGCCACACTGCAGGCCTTTGGCTGTGTGAGAGGACAGCAGGAGTCTGGGGAGGGCCTGAGGCAGGTGCTGCCATCATACCACACAGGGCCTCCTGCTGTCTCTTTATTCACTCTGTGGGGGGCAGAGCCTTGGACCTACAACCTTGCGCTGCCAGGCACTGCCATCTCTGGAGGCCACTCACAGACACCCAAAGTGAACAGCTTATTAACAAGATCCATTCGTAAGTGGAATGTTGTCTCAGCCACCTTAGTAGAAGAGCTTTAAAACCAACGATGGCTTTAAACTCTTTACTCCTCCTCTCCCCTTCTCTTCTTCTCTCTTCCCCACCCTCTCCCTCCGTTTCTGTCTAAGATGGGGAAGTTCCCTCACTATGCTGCCTAGTCTGAACTCCCAGACTTAAGAGACCATCTTGCCTCAACCTCCCAAGCAGCTGGGACTAAAGGCAAGTACAACCAGGCCTAGCTTTTGCTTCTCATTTTTCTGTTCACTTAGAAAAACCAATGCACATGTGTAGTACCACGTTTGATATACACCACATACCTGGGATGGTGTTGTCCAAAATAAAAGCCACACAGCCTCCTACAAACATAGCAGTGGTGAGAAGAACGTTTAAGACTTGATCAATTCCTGTTATGCCTAGAAACAGAGCAGAGACCATGAGCACCACTGCCACAGCCCTGCCAGTCAATGCGAACTGTGGGCACAAATTCCTGCCAGCAATGTTTAAAACTACACTGCCGAATACTTTCAACAACCACCCAAAGCATCCGGAGGATGGTCAAGTGAATCTAATAAAGTGACATTTGTTCTTCACGAACTGAATAGCCATTTGAGTGTTATCCGCAGATGGAAGTATTTTCAAATAAAATACGGATGTTACAAGGTAGAAAAAAATTACACACTGACTCAGAAAAAAATATCTGTGCATCCCTAAACAAGTAAGTGTGTTCAGCATCCTAGATTCCTAATTCGAGCATGGCTGCTCTCAACCAAGAGCAACTGATTTACGACAATGTCCTCCCATGAGTGCAACGGATTAAAATGTAAAAAGCAGCAAGAACCTGCTCGTGGTTAGAAGTGTGAGTGCTTTCAAAACATAAAATAAGTGCTTGCCTGGTGTGTACAAAGCTCTGGGCTCAAGCTCCAGCACCAAAAAAGAAGAAAAGAAACTGCCTTGAGGCTAGGGATTTAGCTCAGCAACATAAGCACCTGCCTTGCAAGTGTGCGGTCATGAGTTCGGTCCTGGTGCCAAAAAAAAAAAAAAAAAAAAAAAAGCTGCCTCGTGTCCCTGGTGCAGTTATCTATTTATTTAGTGGCACAGCTAGCTATTTCTTTCTCAAAATGATTCCTCCTGTTCATTCTTTATGACAACAGGGAATGAGCATAACAAAGAGGAGTTAAGAAGGTTGTTCTGGAGTTAAAAATAGCTATAATGAAGTAAAACACATGTATTTCGGCTGTGTGTGGTGCCGCATGCCTATAATCCCAGCACTCTGGGAGGCTGATGCAGGAGGATCACAGTTCAACTGCAGCCTGGGCAACTTAGAAAGGCCTCGTCTCAAAAATTTAAAAAAGGGTTACGATGTAGCTCAGTGCAAAGATCCTGGATTTAATTCCCAGTGCAGGGTGTGGGTGTGTGGATAAAGAGCAAGAAAATGAAACATGTATTTCCAAGTGTATGAAGTGGTAGAAAATCACACATCTTAGCCACGCATGGTGGTTCAGGCCTATAATCCCAGCAACTGGGAGGCTGCAACAGGAGCACTGCTGTAAGTTTCAGGGCCGGCCTGATCTCCATAGTGAGTTCAAGGACAGCCTGGACAACACAGCAAGATCCTGTCTCAAAAAACAGAAACAAAAGCAAAACATATAAAACCTCATAAGATACCACATGTCTGTTTTTGGGGGTGGTTGTGAGGGGGTACCAGGGATTGAACTCATGACTCACAATTGCAAGGCAGGTGCTTGTGCCGCTAAGCTAAACTCCAGTCCCAATAGTACACAGCTTTATAGGCGTAGCCTGAGAACAGGGTTTCATAGACAGGTGGTCTCCCGGGAGAAGACTGCTACAGAGAGGGACTTCGGCTCCCTCATCAGTAGTGCCCTGGCTAATGTGAGGCGAAGGCTTCCCAGGAGACCGCTGTGGAGCACGCCTTAAGGAGACACAGTGAAGGCTCAGGGCTGTGAGACTCCGTGGAGACCCAGCACCTCTTCTCCCTACCTGTGACCAGCGGATTCTGTCTGAGGTAACTTGGAAGGACGAGCCCAAAGAAGATGGAAAATCCAAGCACAAAAAGGTTCCGGGAGGAGTTCAGGTCGATGAACTGCAGGTTGGACAGGCCGACAGCAGTGATCATCCCTGCAGGAGAAACAGTAGGCTCAGCCCCAATGAGCTCCCCAAGGCAAGTGACAGAGTTAGCATGTGGGCGCAGACACCTGGGCACCTGGCTCTGAACAGGCTGGGGTGGGGTTGGACTGTGCCCAAGGGGTCTGGTCCAATCCAGCAGAGCATTGTGCTGTCCCCATGACAGCAGCACAGGACACAGCACACGGGACAAGGCCTCTCCCTGTGCAGCTCTGATTATACTGGGAGCTCGCTCAACTACCTGACACTTGTCCCCAGTTACTGTAACTAAATGGCACGGCCATCAAATCCAGTATCCCACTGTAAAGACAGTCGGTTTTCATGGCCTATTTACAGAAGGTATTTGAATTAAATCGATTAGAAATCCCACTGAGACTACATTTCAGCTCAGTTTTCATCCTGCTGGATCTTTCAGCTAGACCGAGAAAATAGTGTAGGTCTTTATTTTTTGAAGAGTTAAACTTGGTTTTAAAACAGAAATTTACTGATAGCTTTAGTTTTACTGAAGGGAGATGGCAGAAACTCGGGGAGCCTGCTAAACATTAGGGAGGTGAGGGAAGGAGCCAGGACCTTACCGAAGAGCGTGCAGAAGAGCGCTCCGAGCACTGGGTCCGGCAGGGACGCGAAAAGGGCGCTGAACTTGCCGATCATGCCCAGCCCCAGCATGAGCACCGCGCCATATTGGATCACGCGGCGGCTGCCCACCTGTGGACATATCGGGGATGGACCACTCAGATGCCGCCCGCCAGCAGTGCCCACTGCCAGCCTGGCCTCCTGGGCCAATGCGACCATCCTTGTTCATGAGTCCCTTGACCTTGACCTTCAGGAACAAGATACTCTCAGTACATGATGACCAACTCCTCTACGTGGCTCACTCAGTGTCCAGACTGTGGGGAGCATCAGGGAGCAGCTCCTGGTGGAGTCAGGTGTGCACCATCGTCCCTGCTCCTCTTCTGGGTCCACTCCTGCTGTCAGCCCCAATTCCACCGTCCCCACACCCCTGCCCAGTCAGACAACCCCAACCCCCATCCCAGAGCCCCGTCTCTTCACACACGGCATCCTGCCCACCAGAGGTGCTGTAGCTTAGGGCTCAGGGGGCAGAACAGAGCCCGCCCCAGCATGGAGGAGCTGTCTCCTCCCTACCGTGCGTACTGTGCTGCTTAACAGAGTGACAGACACAATGGAACTGATGGGGTCTGACTGTGCCCCACCACATGGCCCTTCCTGCTCCACTGTGCTGAACACCATCGTGGGTAACTCTTCTAACACCCTGATTGGGTGGAGGTTCAGCTCTTGATTTAAACCCTCTGGTGCTTAGGAAGTCGAGTCTCCATCTTCTGGTCTTCCCAACAAAGCTATACCTGCCAACACGTTCCTTCAGCCATGTCTGGGTCCCAGGCATGGTAGGGCTTAGACCTGATCTCAGCCTTCTGGAAGGTTCCATCTCCCCTGCTGTCACCCACATGGAGGAGGAACTGACCTGACTTGAGGAACTGGCACAGTTGGTGCCTATCATTTGGTGTCTCCTATGGACTAAACCCTGAGTGTATAAGCCAGGCATAGAAGGTTCCAGAAATATTGGAGGGATGGGGGGATGGTGTTAGGACTTTACTTACAGTGAGAAGATGGCTATTTAAATAAATTGAAATGAGACAAAATTTAAAATTAGTTCCATCTTCACTGGTGGCTCACTATTCTTATTCCCCTGCTGCACAGTTCTGGACTGTACTGCTCTCCAGGACCCAAAAGGAGCCAGCTAAGGAAGCATCAGAAGCCCAGCTGGACCATGCAGATGAAACAATGCCTGTCTAGCTTAGCTGGCTCCATGCTGAACCAGTCTCTCCCCACGCCACACAGGGAGAGCAAGCAACGGGAAAGACCACACCAACAGATGAGCTGAGCAAAACTTATAGTAAAGATGCCTTTCACCTACAGATGGATCAGCTGTCAGCAAATGTGATGAGGAGCTACCATGTGACAAGCATGTGTTAGACTTGCAGACAGGCAGGTACAAAGATGAGTAAGTCCCAACCCTAAGGTCAAATAACCGTGTCACTCCGCTGCGTGAGAGCTCGGTTGCAGGGAGACTGTCTGATTTGGGAAGGGTTACTGCAGTGAGGGATGGGTTGGGGAGGAAGGGCTGCCAGCAGAGAAAGCAGCTGCATGCCAGGCTGGGCAGCCCCACCAGGCAGGAGATGGGCGGGACCAGGCTGGCCCCAGGATGCCTGCAATGCTGGAGCTAGATGAAAACGGGTCTGCCTTTGCCAAACCACAGCAGCAACTAAGTCACTCAGTGACACCACCTGACCGCCTAGCTCACTTTTTGTTGAACAGCAGTGGCCTGGCCCTCCAAGCGGTCATGTGGGCCTTCTGTGTCTCTGTCCATCCTCCCACTCTGGTAGCCTAGTCTGCAGCTCCTACTGGACTGTGGTGCCTCTGCATTGAGGACCATCAGAGAGCTGACCCTTCATTGCTGACTTCACCAGTGTGGAAGGCAGGAAAGAGAAGACCTCTCTTGGACACCACCCGAGACACTGCAGGGACAGTGTGTACTCTCCCTCCCTTAAATTAAGCCAAGGGCCCACCAGCTTTAACAGCAATACCCACAGCTTCCTATGCACCTGCTGCACCCAGAGGCTGAATGCCTTATGGGAAGCGATTGGCTGAGACACTTGCAAGGCACCTTTCATGGACTCCGTCCTGGGAACCAGACAGGCAACATACTTGTCCATGGCCACACGAAGATATGGCGCTGCAGACAGCTGGAACCCAAAGCCACTCCTCTCATACCGTGCTGTGGGCCCTCTTGGAACCCACTCAGCAGAGGAGGCAGGGAAGGTGACCCCATCTCTGGAAACATGCAGAATGCAACAGCTGGACCCAGAGTGAGGCAGATCCTATGCAGAGACACAGACTGCTCTCCTCTAAAATGCCCTGGGAGTCTGGGCAACGGCTCTGAGCAGCGCTGGCTGGCAGAACTCTCTTTGATAGTGGCAAGTCCTTCCCTTGTGGTCCACTGGTAGCCACTGAGCTATATGGACCCCTGACACTGGCAGTGGGGCCGGTCTCCCTGCGAAGTGAGTTTCTAACTTAAATTTAATGGTTTCCTGTGGGCACTGATTACCATACTCTGTAGCACAGCTCTCCAGCAGGAGACTTCAGAGCAAGTTCTACTCAGAGAAGCAGCTTGTCAAGAGTCTCAGCTGGACAAGGGGTGCAACATGGTGCAGAGCTCCACCTCCTTCTCTTGGACAGTCTCCCCATAGCCCACAGGGCTTGGGTCATACAGACGTCTCTACGCTCAGCCCCACTCCCCATTCCATGTGTGGCCTAGACCCTTTCTCTTGTGGATCAAGTCTTGTGATTGGAGTGAAGCAAACCTGATTCCAGGGCTGACACTCTGCCCTGCACTGGATGACACCTGTGCCTGGGAAAGCAGCTATAACAGCTGGGTCCAAAGGGATTTGGGACAACATCAAGTAGCTCACTGAAGAGTGCTGGCATGCTAGTTGTGTGCTAGGCACACAACTTTGATCCCAGCAAATAGGAGAAAGAGGATCACTGAGAGCTCAAGGCCAGTCTCAGCTATATAGCAAGTTCAAGACCAGACAAATGCTAGTGAAATCTTGTCTCTTCAAAAAAATTTTTTTAAAAAATGCTGGTAAATTATCTTTTCAGAATAGACTGGAGTCATTCAAATTTTCATGAAGATAATTATTCCCCTCAAACTACATCAGTAATAAGGTAGATGATTTTGCTTACTCCCTCAGTGACCCTGATAAGTGATGCCACATTTTAAAAGGGCACAAAAGGGAGCTGGGTTATTAAATAACTTTTCCATGAGTCCCGGATATGCCTGCAATTTTATGACTATATTATCTTGGCATCCCCTTGTACGCCAGTGGGGTTAGGGCAGCCAGCTGGTTTAGGAATGGCTCAGCAGCGACAGGACCAGAGAGAAGGTACTGGAGGAAGTGGCCACCAGGTGGCCCTCCCTCCCTCCTGTGCCACGCACAGGGAGCAAGCAGCAGGCAGCAGATAGGACCAGTGGTGTATGTGACATTGAGCCCTGGGCCAGCCTGGCAAATACGAGGTGTCTGCTATGTCGGCACACAGCCTGATACACTGCTCCCTCTCACACGGATTTGTAATTTAAGATGAACCAATCTTAGTGTTTGGTTACTTTTTATCAGATTATAGAATGTTGCATGGAGCTAGGGGAAGGTTTCTTTCAAAATCCACCCCTACCCCCACCTAATCTCAAGAGGTCAAACAGGTCGGGGAGGCTTGTGGGCGGGCTCAGCCCCCAGTCCTCAGGTGAGGAGCTTGTGACTCACATGGGCAAAGGTGGGCAACCAGTTCTGAATCTGTTTGCACAGTGTTCAGTGGCCATGGGTCCTCAACATCCTACAGACCCAGGGCTCTCCAGCCTAGGGCAACTGGGATGTAATTACTGGCTGGTAATAAAGTAGGAGGCTTGGGACCGGGCCCCTTCCAGATTCACAAGTCTGTGTCTGGTGGAGTAGGGTGGGGACGGGCAAACAGGGAGGACACAGACCAGGCCCTGCTCCACCTGCTACCTCACTGGGCCTCCACATCAGAAACAATGGAAGGAAGACTCTGCCCCAGAGGCTGGAAAAACTGCACCATCCCTTTAACAGGAGACGGATTTTTTTCTGTCATCCTCTCTCATCCAGAACTTCCAACACCTCCCAATGCCTCTTGCTTCTACTCCTGTCTAGTTTCACCACAGTAGTTAAAGTGACCCTTACACAACAGGTCAAGCTACTCCTGCAGCATCTACTTCCACACAGTCCACGGCCATCAACAGCACCCTTGTGACCTGCTGTGGGCCATCTACGGACTTGCTATTTCTACTTTTGGGCCCCTCTGCCCCACCGGCTTGGCTGGCTAGCTGACTTCACACAGTGGTCTCCAATGGCCACATCGATGCCCGGATGTTTTTTGGCTGTTACTTGCAGCTCCTTCCTCTACCCTTCCAGTGAGGCCTAGTCTGAACACCCCACTTAACCCTGAGTCACCCTCCTCTGGCCCCCCCACCATCCAGCCCCGTTCCTGTCATCCTCACCCCTGGCTGGCACTGCCATTCACTGACCTGCTACGCTGACTGTTACATGCCTTTCCCTGCTGGAAAGCAAACTCCTACTTCTCACTTTCATACCCCAGTGGCCTCACACTGAGCCTGCCACAGGTGGGCACTCAATAACATCTGCAGCTGCATACAGGAAAGACAGCACCAGAGTGCCACTCTCCCCAGGCTGGCCAAGCAGGTGAAGGCTTCCAAAGGCATCCCAAAATCTCACTGAAAGGAAAAAAGGGGTGAGGAGAAGATGACCTCAGACTTCCCGCTAGACTGCACAGAGGTCAGACCGGTCAGTGAGTGGACATACGTATAGGCCTGACCATGATAATTAGAAAAATATCTGTACCTTCGTAATTCCCAGAACGCCAATGTTGGGACTGGATGAAGTAGAGCCGTTCCCGGTACCAAATATGCCATCAAGAACACAGGAGAGACCCTCCACGAAAATCCCCCTAAAATGTAAAGGAGCAGGGGAAAGAGAAATGTTCACTCAGAGGGGGACACTGACATGGGCTCTCAATGTGTCAAGCCACAAGTGTGCGCTAGCCGGCTGTGGCCTGAGCCCAGCGGAACCCCGAATGCTCATCAATTTCAAGAAGCCCCTCTCCAAATCCCACAGCAGACCAAGTAACCTGAAATGATTCCAAATGAGAACAAAGTACTCTGGTCACACAATAAAGGCATCTGGTGATTAGCTGTCCGATGAAGTTAACACATACTAATTCCATTTGTTACTGTTAAAATACAATTTCATCCCGAGAGGAAAGTCTTATAATCTTATAAATACTGAAACTTAAAAAAAAAAAAAAAAAAAAAAAAAAAGTATGAGTAGTTTCATCATCTGCAATACCTCCATTCAAAAAGATATGAAAACTAAAACTGAAAATGCTCGTGCACAACACATGTGCGTCACGCTAAGCAGCAGTCCGATGACGCCTGCCAAGTAATCCCTTCCCGAGCGGCACCCAACGGCTGGGAGCTGAGGCTGATGCAGGCTGCTCTGTCTTTGCTGCAGTCTCCTTGCCTAAACTTTCTATTGGCTTCCAAAAGCTAAAGACCAAGGGCATACAGCTCAATCCCATAAACCTCATCTCTTCCTGCCCTTGGCTACATGACTAGTAACCCTCAAAAATAGCTGGAATGCACCTAAAACATCTGGAACAGGTACTGTCTGCTGCTAAGGTTTTTACTATGAATGCGAGAAAACCACATCCATTTACCTTCTGTCAGTCCAACTGTGGCAGCCAGGAAGGAATGGGGCAAACAGAATTTGCACAACTCAGATACAATAAAAGCCTGATTTACTCCAAATGGTCTAAAACTTGAGCTTACATGGGGAAGCAAAAACAGTTGGGGAAAAAAGAAAATCAAAGTAGTCATATACTAAAATGACATAAAACCAAGCAAAGAATAAGGGTAATGCCTGGCATTTATTTTGGTGAGTTTCAAGTTTATTTTTGACATTTATTTTTTTGAGCCCAGGCTGGCCTCAAATTCACAGTGATCCTCCTGCCTCAGCTTGAGAACTTGGATTACATGTGTGCGCCGCCACACCTGCTTAAGTGTCAGGTCTGAAGGAGACTCACAGAGCCTGCCTGCTTGTCACTGGGGGAAAATGACACCAAATGGGGGCAGTACTTGGCCCACAATCCCTCTGTGTGGCTGTGGACAGTCTTGGTTTCCCCAGAACAGCGCCCACCTAAGCCACTGCGCTGGATGAGGTGTGAGCCTGCTCGGGCTTACCTGTTTATTGCATGGATGGGAGGTGGCGGGGCACAGGAGAGCCTGGCACAGGCATAGTAGTCACCGATGGACTCAATGATGCTGGCCACGACGGCGCTGAGCATGCCGATGACGCCGGCCGCGGAGACGGTGGGCAGCCCCCACTGAACTGAGGATGGAAGACAACTGTGAGAGGTGCACGCTTTCACAGGGCGCAGGCAGCAGACGTCGCCAGGACCTCGTGAGACTGCAAGGGCCGCTGGGATTCTAAACTCTTGAAGTTTTAAATCTTAATCACTGGCTGGGCATGGCAGTGTGTACCTGTTATCCCAGCACTCAGCAGGCTGAGACAGGAAGATTGCTGTGAGTTTGAGGCCAACCTGAGCTACACAGGGTTAAAGGCCAGCCAGAACTCTACAGTCAAATTCTGCCTCAAAACCTAACAAGACAACACCCCCTATCACTGTTAGTATGAACAGACAATGAAGTTACTGGCCCTAGTTTCTAGAACAACTAGGTATAAATTCTACACCCACTGGGGATAAAGTGGACAAAGACAGATGGGTAAAACTTGGTGTGGTGGGCAGAGTGCAGTCCTCTAGTCAGGGCCCAGGACACCCAGAGGCTTAGACACAATGCGAGACTCCAGCTCAAATGAAGCAGCCAAGTGTCTGTGAGGGCTCAGGGTTCCCATCCAAGGAAGGAGATGAGAAGCACAGGCAAATGGACTTGTGCAGCACAGGAACGGCTGCTCCTCAGCAGAGGAGGACACACAGGGCACAGAAAGGGTCAAAGAGCCACCTGGAGGGCCTGGCATTTGTGCTGCAGGTACCTGGAATATGCCTGTAGGGTGAGGGTGAACCGTTTTCGCCCAGACCTGCCCCACTATGGGAATTGTCACAAGTAGCTGGGGTCCCAGGGACAAAATGCAGTCATCACACAGGGAAAGGCAGAGGCAGACGCTGCCCACCAGCCACACTCTAGGCTCACACTTCCGGCTGGGGCTGCGTTAGAGCGTCATCCAGTCACAATGCTTCGGCTTTTTATATATGTGACTGTTGCTGTTGAGGCACTGTGATTTCATTTTGGTGTCCTGATTTCGAAGAGGAGATGTTCATTTTATCTTGCCTTACAGAGAATATTCCTAATACACCCCATCATTAAATAGGGCTTAAACCTAGGTACTCTACTCCCATCCCCTTTTTAAAACAATTTTGAGACGGGGTCTTGCCCAGGGTGGCTCACACTTGCAGTCCCCCTGCCTCAGCTTCCCAGGAAGTTAGGATTACAGGCATCTGCCAGGAAGCCCGGTTCAAATCTGATACTTGATAGGATCAACTTGATACCGCACAGTGGAAAATTCCACACTGCACCTCCACATGATACACCGGGGACTAAAACCACCATGTAAAACTACCTTCCAACTGTTGTAAGGTGTATGTGACACATAAATGACAAATGTGTCATTTGTCAAACTGCCTGTGTAGCCAGTTATGTCCTTTCCTCAAAACACTTCACTATGCACATGCAAATATTCTAAAACCCCAAAAACAAACAGAATAAAGCTCTGAAATCCAGAACACTTCTGGCCCAAGTTTTTCTGAAGCAGAGGATCCTATAAATTCAGAAAGTGTGTTTTATTTTGTCAGCCTCTCTATGCTTTCAGCGTTCATATTATTCCCCTTTTTAAGATGAAGTCCTTAAATCTCATTGTTAAAATCTTTATTCCATCCACATCAACATTTAAACTTACACTCTCCCCCAATACCCCAGCCTCTATCTTAAAGCTGTTATTTTCTCTCTCTTTATAATTTGCTGTTATCTTATAGCAGATATTTTTCAGCTTTGATACTCCTGACATTTTGGGTCGGAAATCTGTATATTAATGTCAACTCAGGTAATTATTTATCAGCAGCTCAGAGCCATGGCTCCTAATGCTTAAAACCCTGTTCCTGGATTGATCCAAACTACAGTAGCACACACGACTAGACCACTGGAGGTGGCTTCTCATCGAGGAGCTCAGGTCAGGCACCTGCTCCCAGACACTTCGGGCTGTACTGAAGAAGAACTGATCTGGGGCCGCCCGCTGAGTGACCCCACCTTGCCGCTCACCTTGGCAGCTGCCTGTGCCAGGTGCGGGGGAGGCCACCCCACCCCCTGCCCACCTGCGTCATCTCCTGACTGCTTTGCCAAGAGATTTTAATCTCATTTTATCTTGGATTAGAGGGATGCATTCTTTTTGGGAAATGGGATAGGTGTATATAAATACGTATCAAGGCCCCATGTGAGCTGATGGGAATGTTATTTTAGAAAGACTAAACTTTGTAAAGTTCCTGTGAATGTAGAAGCAGCATTAATGGTTCAACTCTCGTGGAATATTCGCCTCTAACCTCTGTACGTCTGGCTGGTCTTGCTTCTTCTCCACAGCATCACAAAATATGAAAACAAAGACAGCCGGACAGAGGAATAAACTGGCTCAACCTGACTAAGCAGGGGCTTGTACTTTAACAACAACCCCGAATTCCAGGAATAGGGGCTTCACAATAGAAGAACCAAACACATGCTCACACAAGTTCCTTTGGGGTCTGAGGTCCAGGAAGACATTGTGTGTGACTCCAAGAGATACCTAGAGATCGTATTCTCTGCCCCATGCCATCCCCGAATTATAACTTAAGATCTGTCTTCCGGCAGACTGTTATCAGTTTACCTCTGCAGATGTGACCAAATTATAACAATTAGAGCCATCCATTAAAAGATTATGTAAATTCCATCATGCTTGAGTGGCCTGCTCATTAATCTCGAGGCCTGCCCACTCGGCCTTCTCATTTTGGCATCTCTGGTGCCAAGCAGCTCCGTACCTGCCCTTCTCAGCCGCTGCCTGCAAATGCTGGCCACCAGGGTGAGGCCTGGCGAAGATCCCTAAGAGATGAGCTGTTAATCTGGGAAGGGGGCTGGCTAGGCTTCCCATGCTGCCTGTAGACAGGGGACAGGGCCATCCAACCCTTTAGTGACCAGACCTTCAGGAGATAAGGGCTTTCCAGGCCATAGAGCCTTTGCTTGCTACTGACCCTTCCACACTGGGGTCACAGACTCCTGGCCCCTTTGACTGTGGGGATACTTACACGGGTATGGAACCTTAAACCAGGGGGCAACCAGAAGCACACCCTGTCTGGCATCCGTGCGTGCATAGAAGCCATACTTGGTACTGTCAGGAGGGAAGACGTCGGTCACTGTGAAGATGAAGCAGAGCAGCCAGGACACAAGGATGGCCAGGATTATCTGGGGAGGCCAAGAGGAGAGGCCCTGTCAGTAAGCAGAACCACCAGGGTCGGGGGAATGCACCCTTCCTTCAGTCTGATCAGGGCGCCCAGAACTGCAGGCCACCCCACAAGCAGCACCATGCCCGCTCCCTGGCCCTCCCTGCCTGCTGAGTGAATCAATGGACGTCATTTCTGCAGACACACACAACACCAAGTCTCAGTCCAAGGGTGGTGTCCCCTTTCATTGGCACTGGTGTAAAAATGTCTCCTCTGCACAATATCTAAACTTCAGAATGATGAGGTGGTAACCAGCACCCTAATGTCCTCACGCAGACATAACCACCTGATGCAAGAAATGATGGCAGTATTGTTAGGTGCAAAAGCCAACTACTCACAGGGAACATTTTGAAAAGCTGCAACTTATACGCAGTCCATCCTTTCTTGGATTTGTAAATCGGGAGAGGAAATTTAACATTTCTGGCATATTGAGAAAATAGTAATACTAGGAAAATTGTCCTGAAAAGAGAAAGAAAATAAATGAGGTTAAACAATGTCATATCTATATATGGTTTTTGTTTTGTGGTACTGAAGAATGAATCCAGGGCCTCTATACTCAGCTAAATGTCCAGAACGTCTTAAAAATTCTATTATTAAAATTTTGAAACAGGGTTTTGCTAAGTTGCTAACCTGCTCAGTTGGGCTACAACTTTCAACCTTCCTGCCTCAGTTTACTAGAGTGTTGGGGTTAAAGGTATGTGCATCACCACACTTGGCTTTTTACCTGCATTTCAAAACAATAAAGCTTCACTGTCAAAGCTGATTATGTGTGTTCATTCATTAATCTGATCATTGCTGGCCCTCTTTCCTACAATCTGAAATCATCTTTTGGCACCAGCATTTGGAGGAAGATGCTGTACCTCACTAGCATTTCTTGATACCAGAGTTAATACTTTGGCTAAACTTTTCTAACTAGAGTAAGAAACCTAATTAATATACATGCTGATGGGAAGAGCTGATGCTGTGTAAGGGGTGAAAAGGTCAGATACCATACAGTACATACCATACCACACAGTGTATTTACAACTATGAATTAACTAAAAACCAAACAAAGAAATCCTTGCTTGTACACTTACAGGCATGCTGACATGAGGATCAGAAGGGTGTGATCTAAAACGCTCAAGGGAATAAGCTTTCAGCCATATGATTTGTAGGTTTTTTCTGCTTTTCTATATTTTCTGATTTATTTACAGAAGGCACAAATTACTTTTCAAAAGCAAAGATCAGGCTGGGTGTGGGGCATATGCCCATAATCCCAGCATTTGGAAGGCTGAGGCAGGAGGATCACGGTGAGACCAGCTTGGACTACACAGTAAGTTTAAGGCTAGTTGGAATTATGTAGCTGTCTCCAAACAAACAAACAAATGGGAAAAAAACCAACAATAAAAACAACAAAGCAAAAGCCAAAACAACGTTTAAGGCACACAGTAGGACTGAGTATTGAAAGGTCTCTGTATGCCCCATGCTACAACAAGACTGTTCTTACAGGGCAGCTTTTAGGAGGATTCTCTTTTCACAAAACACAAAGCCAGTGGTCCAAGATCGCACAGCTAGGTCTGGAGCTGGTGGGGATGGAGGATGGGGTCATGGGGTCCGGGAAGCCTGGTGGGCTGCAGAAATCCCTTGTCCCTGAGTCTCACATCCCTATCCGAGCTGTGCTGAGCGTGAAACAAGAGGCAGTGACAGGTGGTGACCTCCCTCATCAGCGGGATCCCCCATGTAGCTGGTGAGCAGGGGTACTTCTGGGTGGATGTAATCGTTAAGATGACAGAGGCACATGATGACACGCCTAATCCCCTAAGGATGAGGCTAATCTTCCCCCTGGCCTCACTCTGCCCTTACAACTCGAGGTAGAGCTGGCAAGAAGAGTGGGAGCTCAAAGCTAAGTTTAATTACTCCTGGCCACAGTTCCAATTGCTGAGATGGAATTATCAGCTCCATCAGCAGCCAGGCAAAGTGCACTCCTAATGACACACATCCTTATCACATCCTAATGAGGCGCAGACCAAAGCTCAACTGGAGGGCAGGCATGTGCCTCCCTGATCACTGGAGGCTCTGATGAACTGGCACTCACTGGGGCTCAAGCTGAAAACACAAAGGTGCCCACAGAATTTGTACTCCTCAGTGAGTTTGACAGCAACCCGCAACAAGGAGCATTACAACTGGAATTAAATCTACAACTACAGTACATAAAATTTTCAGGTTTTAAAGAATGCTGTGGGCTGGGGATTTAGCTCAGCAGCATAAGTACCTGCCTGGCAAGCACAAGGTCATGAGTTGCATCCCTAGTACAAAAAAAAAAAAAGAATGCTGCTTAGTTATATCAAAGTGCAAAGCCCACGTCTGCCATTATTATTTCAGGAAACAGCCACTTACACTGTGGTGTTCACTTTTCAAATCATATCTAAGGGGAGAGGGACACACGTGGAATCTCAGAAGGACACTCATCAAGGTCGCAGGCCCACAAGTGGCAACTCGAATAAATACAGAAGACTGGGGAGATAACCCACATTTCTTCACACTCTCTCACTCCAAAAGCATCTACTGTGAGATTAGTTTTAGCCTCAAATGCACCAGGAGGGCAGAGAGGCAGGAACCCCCACAGCAGAAACTGTGAGCCAAAAATTAACCCTTCCTCTTCACACTGCAGGTGTCAGCCATTCCGTCCCAGTAATCTCGAGGCCCCTGAAACAGCAGTTCCTACAGCATGGTCCAGCACTCCCACTCCTCACAACGCTGGCGTGGCTGAAACACATTCATTCTGAGACTGGGGAGGATAGGCCGCGTACACACTGATGAGTTGCATCTCCCTTTGTGCTTTGTGCTTTTGCAGATGCTCGTATTACATACTTTGTTCAAGATATCAAGATTCTCTCTCTTATGCTCTATGAATTACAGACATCAGCCTTTCTTATGGAACATGAGGCAAGTGTTTTTCCTAGACCCATTTTTAATTTGGTTTCTGTGGCTTTTGATGTGTTTTAAATGTAGCAATAGTACAAGCTACCAATCTTCCATTTCACCATCTACTTAAGATCTTTCCCACTTTAAGATTAAATATTCATGCAGGTTTTCTTCTAGTACTTTTAGTGTCCTACTCAAGTATTTAATTCAACTGAAATTCAACATTGGTACCTGAAATTGAACTCACAACCTTGTGCTTGCCAGGCAGGCACTTATGCCGCTGAGTTAAATCCCTTACCCCTTAAAGTGACTAATTTTTCACACTTAATTTTTCTAGTTCCTGCGGACTTTAAATATGACTACCATCTTATACTAAATATATTTTTCAAAATGTCGCCTCAACCAGACATAGTAGCACAGGCCTAAAATCCTAGCACTCAAGAGGCTGAGGCAGAACAGCAGCAAGTTCAAGACCAGCTTGGGCTATATGAGTCCAAGGCCAGCCTAAACTACCTAGTGAGACCCAAAACAAATCAACGAACAGGTGAAGCCCAACGTCAGGCCTACTCCAGTAGAGGACTGAGAAACCTGGCTGAAGCTGGTTAATCAAGAGAGTCCCTGAGTTACTGGAATGATGCTGGAGAGTTTCGCAAGTGAGGAGACTGCAGGGAATCAGAAAGGAATGGACAGGAAAAATAAAAGCTACAGGGATGCTGGAGAGACAGTCCACAATACAGAGAAGAAAACAAGGGAACAATCTAGACTCTCTTCCAGGCTCCTGGCTCACCAGAATCAAGGAAAGCACCAGTGCAGGAAGACAGAGAGAAATGGGGCAGAGCCCACAGCTGATGTGAACTGCAAAACCAGTGCCAGGTTTTGTTCTAGGGTGACTCTCTCCACCCAGAGAGGGACTTCACTGTGGGCACCCACCATGTCACCAGGGTGCGATCAGGTGTCATTTTGGGAAAGGGTTAATATTTAAACCTAGGACCCAAAACAACTAAAATCAACTTCACTTCAGGGCTCCCAGGGTTGCCTCCCACAGTGACTGGCTAAGAGATAGCCGGGGAAGACAGCTGTGGACATAACACAGGCTAGAGAATGTACACCTGAGAAGTTTAGATTCTGGCAGGAAGGACAGTCCATTGCCACTGCCCTTCCCAAAACCAGGCCACTGAGTTGTGCTCAGAAATCCCTGGGGCTCGAAGTGCCTGCTGACACTGACAACTTGAACCCTTGTCCTGTGGCCTACATCCATGTTAGATCTGAGGTCTGACTACATTCCCTGTCCACCAATGTGAGCAAGGACACAGCTCAGCCTGGGCCCTGTCACAGCCTAGGGTGACAGAAGGGCCTCTGCAATAAGGGGTGCAACTCACAAACCCACAGGCCATGAAGTGACAGAGAGAACCATGACCTGCTGGACTCTGAAACTGCAGCTCCTAGAGGGAACCACTCATGCAAAAATACAGAGAAAATCATTTTTTCTCCATTTTTGGTTTTCTTTTTTTATTCCCTTTTTCTCTTTTTCTTTCTAATTTTCCGATTTTATTCTGTGTGATTCACTTTATCCCTTTTATTTTGTGTTCTATTTTTTTTCCCTGCCATCTTTATTTAATTCTACAAATATCTTGCAACTACTTAATAGGACCCTTTGTCTCTATTTTCTTTCCTCCTTCTCATTTTCCAAGCTTTATTTTTAAATTTTTCTTCTTGCATTCTTCTATTCTTATTCTTTTTTGGGGGGAATGATCTCCACTATCTGTTATTTATTTATGTATGTATGTATGTATGTACTGGGACTCGAACTCAAGACCTTGTACTTGCCAGGCAGGAACTTATGCTGCTGAGCTAAATCCCCAGCTTCCAGTCCTATATTTTAATAGTTTAACCATTAAGCTTTATTAATTTTTAGGTAGATAACTCTAGTACTACTGTTGAATTCTTTTCTATCTTAAGTGGAAGTAAAGGTATCCCACTAAGTAGCTAATTGCTGTATATTAACATTTGGCTTGTCTTAAGCATTTACACTATGATTACAGATTTCCTTTCTAAGGTAATGGGTGGCACATTACAGGTTCTTATGGTACATCAATATCCAGCTTGTCTCAGATGATATTACTGTTGCTGATTTACTTGATACTGCCACAAAGCTGTTGCTATAACAGGCTTTCTCTATGCCAATACCTAGATCACTGCTGTGACAGTAACAATACTGTGGCTCACTTCTGGAGAATTGGATGCTCAGCCAATTACAAGGTGTCCACTCCTCCCATATTAACAGTAGTAGCCGGGTACTGAGACAGGCAATGGATTGTAGTTAGCCACGCACTCAGTGCATCACTTAGAAGCAGCCAAACTATAAGATTTCTATACTAGCATTAACATACAGATCGCTAAGGTACTTGATGGGCTCAGAAGACAGAACTAATCAATCAGATAACGGCAGTAATAAACAGTCAGAGCTTACAGAAGACACCAATAGAAAGATAGCTGAGCTAAACCTTACAAAATGTGATTTGCTAAACCAGTTTATTAGTAAAGAACTAGAATCC